ATCAAACGCTTGTTTTATTTCGCGCGTACCAGACAGTACGTTCGAATTCAATTTATCTCGAAAACGAACCATTGTACGAACGTTCGTGCACGATTGTATCCGAATTTGTGTACATGTGTAATTATTAATAACTACATCCGTAATGTATTTTATTACGATTTCGTTTCAGACCTCAGTTATGTGCAATTATGTCTGACCTTTGAAACTAATATATTGTCATCTGGGACACGATATAGACACATATTATCTTATACGTACGTGTAGGAACCAATATAGTACGTGCATTACTTGATACGACCATGTATTACCTGATATGATTATGTATCGTCTTCGACCACCAATTTTGGTATCTGATCGTGTATTGCGGTTCACACACGATTCAGACGCGAACGCATTTTGAGAACAAATCGAAATTATACCGTATACAAAGAGAACCTTCTCCAAACCACAGAAATTTGAATCTCGATGGTCAAATATAAAAAAGTAGGATTCGACGTTAAAAAATAGTTGTAGAAGACGAAATAAAATTTTTTCGCAGTAGGCTTCGTTTCCGTGAAAATCGATTTTGAAACTGTTCGGGACGCGTGCGCGTTTTACTAAAATTCGGCCTAATCGATCTCGGTCTAGATGTCTGTCATGTTCGTATACAATGTGTAGATGAACAACACACACTCGGAAGTAATATTTTCTTCTAATTAAGCCCGCGTATTTTACGTAGAAACGTACAAGGAATGCAAAGAGACGTCCATGAATTTCAATCTAACCGGACAAACACGCACACGTACTTCCAAAATCCATTTTCTCTCGAACGAGACCCGGTCAAAAACGTCATCGATAAATATAAAAAGATTACCGGACAATACGTGCAAATAAATTTAATTGTTTTTCGTCCGTTTATAAATACATAAAAATAAATCGAAATATTCTAACTCCTGGTTCTAAAAATGAAACAGAGTCTACTAGGTTTGATAGATTCGGGAAAGTCGGCGTTTTCATTTCCAGAAATCGACCTTTTTTATCCCGCGTTTAATCGAGCCTCGACGTGCCACTCGACGAAGAGAACAAACGGGATACGTTGGAAGCGAGCGAGGCGAAATTTTATTAAAATATACATAAATATACATAGATAAAAACGCGATGAATAAATAAAATTAACGGCGACAATGATGATTCGTTTATACGGTAATATTGTTTCGAACAAGAAAATAATGCTATCCGTAGAAAAATAGAAATATTCGGTCCGAACAACGGACATTCACGTCGGTGGATAATCATTGGTTCCTGGTAAAAATAAGTCGCCTTCGCGCAATTTAAAAAGTTATTAAAAAATTTCAAATCATTCTGGAAAAATTATTTTTGGTTACGGGGGTCGATTACAATCATTTTTGGTGAATGCACATACCCCCGAAATCCTGCCCAATTTCGAGAAAAAAATTCGGGTAGGCCTAAATTTTTCGGCGAAAAAAAATTTTTTCAATTCGTTCTAGAAAAATTATTATTAGTTGCAGGGGTCAATTACGATCATTTTTGGTGAACAGACATACACCCGAAATCCTACGTACTTTCGAGAAAAAAATTCTTTACCGGAAATATACTGTGTGACCGGAAATTCTATAACTTTTTCAGGAAGTCTCAATCAACAAATTCTTAATTTTCTTCTTATTTTGGTCTCTAGAATCTCTCAGAATTTTTCCCAAACACCCTGTATATTGCAGCAACTGATATGCATTTGCTTATACACAATATCCAGACCGGGGTTTTAACCGCCTAATTTATGGTCCTTCTCAGGCAAAGAAATTTTAGGTCCAAAATATAGATTTATAGCCGTAATAATATGTAAGCTGTAATAATATGAAGTAAGAAAAGGAGGCAGTGAAAGGTGAGGAAATGAAAATGATTTACACGTGGATTAAATACCAAGGTAGAGAAGATATGATCAATAAATTATATTAATATTGCACGCAAAAAGAGGGGAAGGAAAAGAAAACATCACGAAAATAACTTACATGTGGCCTGGATATGATAAAATATGACGAACCTTCTGGTAGTCCACATATATGTAAGTTAAATCCGGTTTCTCTATTTTCCTCTCCCTTTTGTATTGAATATTATCATAATTTTTCTTGGCCTAACAAGAACCACAAATTGTATCATAATAACACAGGCAATATATGCTCCAATTTCTAAACAATCACTCGTACAACATCGATTTTGGAGGAACGAAATCACATTTCGCGCGTTTAGTTTTATCCGAAATTCGATGGATTAGCATAAAGGGAGATTTATAATCAGCATTCGCGCACGAACAGTACATTGTTTGCCAACGGATGGTCCGTCTAACAGAAATAATCCCGTTTGTAATGATATCCCCCTGCGCATCGATGCGCTGTTATCGAAAGCCCTTTCAGCTCTCATGACGTTCGAAACGACACTCTGTCGAGAGAGTAAGAGAGAGAGAATGTGTGAATGTATCGATCGCGATCGTCATTCCGTCGAAAGAAACGAAATATTCACTACGACTTCGTAGGGATAACATTAATTGTCACACGTACACACGGAGGTGATATTTGTGCTCGGTCTTTTGTCGTGATTTACATTGAGAAGAAAACGGGGGCGTACAGGGGACGTTTGTGCTGTCAGGATAATACGTCTTTCCGTGTACCTAACACTTTGCGTGAAAATAATTTCTATACGTATAAATATGTACGCGTCCGTGGCTTGGCTGAAGAGAAACCCACGTCAAACGCCATTAAATCCGATGCTGGAAGCTCGTACAAAGTCTCTAGTTTGCGGTAAGATTGCAAAGTCGATTTTAGGTCGCCAAATAATTACAATTTCAAATGTTTTCCATGTGCAAATATTATCTCGAACTTAGTCTTCTCTTGATAGACATACCGCGTCAAACGTAATCAATCACTCTCAGACTTGGAACATCGAACGAAAGAATTTTAAATACAAGCTTTTTGATTGAGATTGTCGTGCAAAATTGGCTCGATTCGAAATTTAAAATGAGGTTCCACGTAAATTGTCTATTTTATCCAGTTTGCGAAGAGCTTTTCGTTCCATAACATCGAATGATCAGAGAAACGTCAAGTTACATTCATGGTAATTGTGTTATCCGCGAGTTTAACAAAGTTTGAGGAAAAGTGTACGCAGTGAATTCTTCGGCCGAGCCACGGGCGCGATAAAGGGCAAATCTCGTGGAAGACGCGAAAGGGAAGGTGGTCTGCGAGTGTGTCTGCTTTGTATCAAAGTAGACGGAGAGTTAATGCGACACCGTCGTCCGTAATCTCGTTTTGCTAACCGCGTTTCCCGGATCGTTTAGAAGCTACTCCGGGCCGGTTAGCAAAACCGCGTTTCCTGATTCTTGTTGCCTACGCGGCCGTGGGAGGCGTCGGACAGGCTGCCAAGGAACATTAATTTAGCGCAGCGACGCGGCAAATCTGCTTCCCGCGTGAAAAAAATTTCGATTAACCGACGTTTCGCGCGGAAAACTGATAACGCTAACCGATATCGTTCAACGTCCAAATTCCCGCGCGCTGAAACGTAAATATATTCAATCGTCGATACGAAACGCGTGACGCCGTTGATTTACGAAAAGATCAAACGCCTTCGAACCGTTAGCCAACGTTTCTAAATTGTTTAATACCAACGCGAGCGTTAATTAATGGAAAATTTAATGTGCGAAATATCCGATGTGAAATTAATTGCGGAGCAAAGTAAACGACGACGCTACTTGACGTAAAAATTATATTATATTAAAAGCCTTTTTGGTAGTATAATTGGAATATTTCTTACTTGCCGATCGATAGAAAAAATGTAACGTCGTTCGACGCGGCAGTTATTTAATTTAGCAATTACGAGAGGATATTAATTATGTGGTATATTTTTTCCCCCTACGTACATTTAATCATCGGTGTAAAATACGTAATACCGATTATTTAATCTACAAAAAAAGAACAAGATCCTTCGAATCGTTAGACGTGCGAAACAAATTTTAATTAATCGTGAAAAAATCGTGATATTCAAGGTAATAATTGTCTCGATCGCGATTCGTATTATTACCCTCGATCGTTAGCAAAAATGTAATATCGTTCGTTAATTATATAATTAAAACATGTCGGCGAGGGAATGAATTATCGTTCGACAGCTTCGAGTATCGAACCCGTCAAAGAAGCGTCGACACACACTTTAGAATCACTTCGCAGCCTCTGCAAGACACTTCGAGATCGCTCAAGACATGGTACACAAGTTCAATCCAATCACGATCCACGAAGTATCACTTAGAACACCCCTCGAAAAAGACAAAGGAGAACCCGGCAGCGAAAAGATTAATCTCCATTCTCTACCCTTCATTCATCCATGCAGAGTAACGCGATTTCCTCCCCGCCGTTCCACGAGATTTTCCACGGACACTCAAAAACGAACGACGGAATAAAGAGCCGCGCCGCTGAATCAACCCTTAAACCGGTCTCTCGGCGCACTTCGTTAAAGCGTCCCGCAACGTTAGATCGAGAATGGAAAAGGAAACGCGAAAGATCGATTAATCTCCGTCGCGAACCACCCCCGAAACGTTCCACGAAATATTAAAAAACGGAAGATTCCCAACGGGAACGAAACATTAAACAACCCTTCGAAGAACTCCCACGAGAAAGGTCGTTACTTCATTAACCCCTTAATACAAGATAACGAATGCTTCTCGCCTCGGGTTTCCTCTACCGAACTACCAAAAATATAATTTGTTTCCCTTTGATTACGAATATATATTTAAAAAAAAAAACTAATTATAAATATATTATAAATGTTTTTATTCGAATACGCGTTTGGTAAAAGTTATTCTCGTACGACCGCGGACGATGGAGAAACGAAGGACAAATTCTAACGTCGAAGGGATGAAATCGTCACGTACCAGCGAGAGTCCGGTTCGAGAGTCGATCAAGGGCGCGGGGGCAGATGGGAGGGAGAATGTGATCAGCCAGTTGTGGAGAAAATTTACTCACGATTGTGTGGCACGTTTCGGCGGTGCGGCAGGACTGTCGTCGAGGGTGGAAAAGCACGTCGGACCGGCCGCGAAAGAGGCTCGCTCCACTCTCGACGCGCATCGCGCAGACGTGCTTCTCCAACCCCCTCTGCGTTTACGTGTACACACGGCGAACGATCAACGGGGGGACAGAACGGAGATCGCTGGCGGTTTTCCTGCGGCTGGTAGCGGAACGGAAGGGCCGAGACGCGAATGGATCAACTTGTAACGGTGTCACCGGGAAACGCGACTAAATCCACGCAACTGCAACCTAAAAGTACCTGTACCCCATCCGGAAACAAAGAAATAAGAATCGTATTCCCGAGGAAAAGCGTTACTTCAACAGCCACTGTGTCTGCAATCCTTGACACGTCACTGTTTTGGTACAATTTGAGCGTAAAACGTGACCAAATCCACGCAAATACAAGCTAAAAGTACCTGTACCCCCATCTACCACTGGTTGACACGCCGAAAATAGAGAAATAAGAATCGTATTTGTCGAGGAACAACCACTGTATCTGGCATCTTTGGCACGCTATTGTTTTGTCATTTTGTGATTCTAAGATTGTCTGAAAGAGTCACAACTTGGAAATGTAAGGTAAAAGTACCCAGTACCATCTATCGAAAAAGAAAAGATGGAGGTACCGGGCCCCAAGCGGCCATATTGGCTAAAGTATCGTTCGAACAACCACTGGTATTTACCGATCTTCCTACGCCACTGTTTCAGAACAACTGCAACGCGTGTTGTAACGAATATCCATAGCGAGACGTCACGTTAAACTTGAACGTCTTTTTTTTTTAAAGAAGTTGCAGCTTGCAAGAGTGTCACGGTACACGCGAACCTACGCAAATACAACGTAAGGCTAGCACTTCTAGAAAGAAAGTATGAAAATAAGAGGCCCCAGCGGCCACATTCGTAATAGGGAAGCATTGTTTGGACAGCCACGGTATCTACGATCTTGCTACGCCACTGTTTCCAGACAATTGCGATATATGAAGACTCCACGGGAAATAAGAGGAACGTCAACTCGAACAAATTTCGAATTTAACGTGTCTATGATTATTCAGTTTCTATCAATTAAGGTGATGAATCTACGACTGTAATAATTATCATATTTCGTGTATGTCCGCGCGTATTTCGAAAAATAAGAATAATTTATATTAAATGATATAATACTTTTCACTCGCAGCGTTCTCTATCTTCGCCTAAGGAGCGCTTAGCCCAGTTTCTCCACGCATCCTGCATGCAAAACCAAAATGAATGGATGGCTATGGTAAATTCCATTAAAATCACGCGACCCGGGAACAGCGTATTCCGACGCGGAAAGGAATGATAATTTTCCAAAGAAGCGTTGCAAGTATTTAAAAAATTTTCTAAACGATTCACCGGAACGCGCACCCCCTCGTTCGTCCGACAAATTTCCCTCGCGTACGGGGAAGAAAACTTTCCCCCGATTACGAAAGTTTCAGATCAAATTTATAGACAATAAACCGCGTGAATTTTTAACGATGCCTGGCCTAACGCGTTTGCCTCGAAAATGTCAGAAAAATTGAATGCAACGAAACACGTCTGTCCACTTTCAAATTCTATATAAATTACCGATAAATAATAATTACGAATTCCGTAAATATGCAAACATTTTACTACGAATTAACAATCTGCTGAATCGTCTCCATTCTGCGTACAACGTTTCTTCGCGTCGTTGTACAAACTGTTGCGAGCTACTTTGTACATGTTACGCTCTATTATTTCAGATATAATACTATTTTTTAAATTTCGGCTACGCGCTCGCTCGGCTCCGCCGCAACGTTATTTTACTCTCACTGTTATTTATACACCGTCATTAGCGCGAACAACAATCTCGCGGCTCTATTTTTCCCACCGAGCGTACAAAAATTAACCTAAAAATTAATCTTCTCGAAAACTACGAAAGGGAATATTTATTCGGTGATCGCGACTTATCTTTTACACTCGAAATTACACCAGTGGTACCAGAGTCGGGCAAAATATTCGCGAACAACTGCATTAACGGAAGACGTTAACTCGTCTTTGATACAACAAAGTCGAGAGCATGAAAAATTAATTGGTCGAGCGTTACTTGACGCCTGTTACATCCGCTTATCCTTGTTTACATCGGTAAACCCTTAAAAGTGACTCTTCGTGAGGGGAAATTTTGCTCTCGCTACCTGTACTGAAAATTCGATTTAAATTGAAACGGTCCTTTAAAGAGGAAATTTTCGACGGCTCGGGTTTCCCTCGCTATTCGAGACCGTTTTGCGACGCGTTGAAAATAGAAAAGAAATTCGAGCGTAACAGTTTCGAGTACTTTCCGAGTAAGTTTAACTCGCCGGCGTATGCTCGGAATATTCAACATCTGAAAAATGCGTTTTCCGAACGAAACGTTCTGCGGCTGAAATATTTCCAGCCGAAGAACATCGTTCTTATCCTTTGTTTCAAAGTATTTGCTGGGAAACAAATAATATCCCCAAACGACGATGCCCTTAAGACATTTTCCAATTTAAGCAACATTTAGAGAACGTTATATCTTGCTCCAAGGGAACGTAGTATATTTTAACGTCAAGCTACGCGAACATATTTTATAAAAATCCGTGTATGTATATTCAATAGGGTCGAAACGTAAGATTTTGATTTATTATGTCAACGATTGCGCCCTCGTGGGGATCATCGACGGGTGAAAACATCGCAAACCCGATTGTTCGAGATTTATGATCCTCGTTGGCCTAAGTCTGGCGCGTGCAAGATAGTAGATCACCTTCGTATGCTTTCATCTTTGTGCATCTTGCATAGTTTGCGAATAAATCCCTTCAAATCCTCCGTGTTGGTTGTTGGCTCTAACTCCCATCCATGTAACTTACTTCCCTTTAGTATCACGATTGAACTCTCCGTACAATGCAACCTTTCCTCGAGCGTCATGTAACATTTCACCTATCTAGGTGTTTAGACCGTCATAGTGCCGTGTCGTCCTACATTTTTACCTTTACGTCTTTCACGTATCATCCTCGTCGTGTTTCATTCACCCACGGTGACCTCGTACCTTTCCAATCTTTGGTGGTTTCTTTGTTTGACATCCGCAATATGGTTTATGGCTCCAGTTTATCTTTCCAAGCATCATCCGTTACTCGGAAACTTGCAAAACCGTTTTCTTGTAATTTTATATTATAATAGAATCCATATCCGTGGAAAGGCGAAACGTCGTATATTTTCAATCCCAATACGCTTACATTTTAAATTCAAAGTCTATTTAATTGGAGTTATAATCACAAAAAGCGCCCAGAATAAATTCCCCTACCGAAGACAAAACTTTAGAAATATCATTAATGAAGGTATTAAACAAAAGTAAGCCAAGATACGAGCTTTGAGACACCCCGGATGAAATATTCATATTCCTAGAGAAGAAATTCCGCACTTTAATTAACCGTGGACTTTTCGTAAAGAAACTGGAAATTCAAGACGGAAAATTACGTTCAACTTTTGTATTAAGATGGACCTGTAGGTTGTAAAACCAAGATCTACCCGAAAATCGATACAAATAACGCGTCGTGGTCTTTGTCGCGTTGGACGCGTAATGGGGGGCAAATAATACCGGATAAGCCGTGATACTAATCGTCTCGATAAAAAGCACTCTTGTTTATCAGGAACAAAGTTTTTGCTACAGTTCCCGTAAATTCCATCGCATTATTCCTCTGCCCCAACATTCTGGCTGGCTGAACACGCGGCAAAGATGGATTCCACGTCTCGGCTGTCTTGTCTACGACGTCCTTGCCTCAAAGACTCCTATCCATTCGTTTAATTTACTCCCTTCCAATTTGTCTTCGCATACCAAGAATACTCCCAATCGCAAGAATCACACTAAATCATTCTGCGCGTTCAAACCTTGCGTCCCTGCTTGCTTGTTTCGTTTAACGATAATGGAACCTGATAAAACTTGAATTTGATTCCTGAAAACGGTCCAAGCACGGAATTATAGAACTTTACGCCCCGCGCGAGTATCCGAGCCGATTCCAGCAGCGGCTCGATTTTGAAATTTCAATCAGCCCCCGAGTAATTAATTAAATTGTTCCGGGGGAAACGAATGTTCGACGAATTTTCCGGTCGACTGCGCATAATTATCCGATCGACTCCCCGTATCTCAAAAACGATTTCGACTCCGATAATCTATTACACTGTTAATCAAACCGAGCGGGAGATTCGGGGAATTATAATAAATTTCAACTCGTGACTTCGAATCAGCAGACTCGTCCAAATAGTTCCGACGTCACAATATTAGAATGATTTTGATTGGAAAGGGTTCAAGCACTCGGACAAAGATATTAGGATATACTCTAAGGTTTAGTCGGAGACTGAACACTGATGCACTTCTTACAAAATCAGACGCGAAAATGAGCCCGGAGCTTTTATAATTTTTCGTTTAGGTACAGTCGAGTTAGGTCTAGACGCATTTGTTTTTACCCGTAAAGGAGTCAACCAGTTCGTCATCTACTTAGTGTATCGTTTATGACTAACCTTATCGCTATGAGTAATATTTATTTTAATAGGGGCCTACGGCATGACAGTACGAAACAAATCAATCCCTGGAACGAAAGTTCTGTCTTTGAAAGAATTTCGTCCACGCGCGGTAAACGATAAAAACTGTAAAAGAGAGTCGAAATGGTCCATGATCGATTCCAAACCCCTAAACGACGATCGATCGTGCGCTCGCGGCGTTCAAAATTCATCCCCTTTTATCGCGCGGAGGGAGTTGAGGATAACCGGGCGCGGTAAACACTCGGCTCGATCATCTAATTAAAAAGTTGCCAGGAGAGAGAACGACGTGGCGTGGCGTCTTCGCGTTACTCGTGAATCTTTCATGTGTCTCCGGATACGGTCCATCGCGACGCCAGACGTCCCAGCTGCTCCCAAAGAGCGCCGTGGAGAACGGAAGTTTCACGCGAAAACGAAGCTCGCTTCGCCCCGTTCGACGAGGAGCAACGAAAGATC